CGGGACCCATAGGGAAGGGGCTCCCGCCTGACACTTCCTCGGGTGACATAGGTGAATGACGGTGGTGGGTGGGTGAGTGACTGAGTGGGTGGGTGGGTGGGCGGGTGAGTGATGATGATGATGATAATGATGAGTGGTGATGAGTGCGGTGATGATGGTGGTGGTGGTGATGATGATGCTGATGATGATGATGATGCTGGTGATGATGATGATGATGATGATGATGATGATGATGATGATGATGATGATGATGATGATGGTAATGATGATGACGAGAGGGAAGGTGTGAGAGAGAGGGGGTGAGGAGGAAATCCTGCGCGGAGCGTGTCCAGAGAAAATCACTCCGACGGTCGGACCCCGCACGAGAATCTGTTTAGCTTACCCTTCGCCCTTTCCTCCTCCCCTTGGCGGACACCCTCTCTCTCCTCTCGCCCTCTGCAATGCCCTCTATTCCGCATGCACGTGGCGCGGGAGAACATGACGTACAGGTGCAGACACCATATCTCGTCCGACATGCCCGTGCGGCCAGCGTCCTCATCCCTGGCGCAGTTCATGGTGACGCCCTAGCGCAGCGTCTTGGCCTTGCGACAGCGTGGAGGTCAGGTAGGACGCGTGCGTCAGGGTGAACCCCGAGTTGCGCACAGCGTGCGCCCCCGAGCTCTGCCACGTGAGCTCTTGCTCGCTGGGCCTGAACATGAGCAAACTCCTCGCCCGCTCCTCGGCCTCGCCGTCGTCGCCAGCGCCATCGGCGCGCTGCTGCAGCACCTCGGCGACCTCCTTGTAGATCGGGACTCCTGGAAGCCGTGCACTTGCAGCCAGATTCCCTGCGGTAGGTAGCGGGGGCGGAAGAGCTGGCCCGGCGCGCGCTCCTCGTAGTCCCGCTCGTCGTCTGCGTGAAACTCGAAGGACACGATGGTGGCCCGTTGCTCCTGCACGAGCCCCAACTTCTTCCTCAGCTCTTCCTGCACGGCCGTGAACCGGACCTCCATGCCGACGTGTGCCGGTAAGACGCCGTGGATGTCCCCGGTTTTGTGCATGTTCGGAACGTTCAGGAGGCGCCAGCCTGCGTGTGGGTCGCCTTGAATCGTGCCGCACTCGTCTACGGCCTGCAGGAAAACGAGGGGGACGCCCGCGCGATACTTCTTTCATATTTAAGCCTCAGGAACCCAAAAATGACGACAGTTACATGTTTCAGGATGACCCGCTCGGATTCGTAACACGATCTGCGGGCCCCATAAAGAGGGGGCTCCCGCCGGAGACTTCCTCGCAATTCACTCACAGACGAGGCTCTCGCCGGATACTTCCTCCATAATCAGGCCTCAAGAGCCCAAAAGTGACGACAGTTACACGTTTCGGATGACCCGCTCGGATTACCAACATGAAGTGCGGGCCCCATAGGGAGGGGGCTCCCGCCTGAGACTTCCTCGCAGTTCACTCACAGACGAGGCTCCTGCCTGATACTTCCTCCATATTCAGGCCTCAGGAGCCCAAAAGTGACGACAGTTACACGTTCCGGATGACTTGCTCGGATTACCAACATGAGTTGCGGGCCCCATAGGGAGGGGGTTCCCGCCGGAGACTTCCTCGCAATTCACTCACGGACGAGGCTCCCGCCTGATACTTCCTCCATACTCAGGCCTCAGGAGCCCAAAAGTGACGACAGTTACACGTTTCGGATGACCCGCTCGGATTACCAACATGAAGTGCGGGCCCCATAGGGAGGGGGCTCCCGCTTGAGACTTCCTCGCAGTTCACTCACAGACGAGGCTCCCGCCTGATACTTCCTCCATATTCAGGCCTCAGGAGCCCAAAAGTGACGACAGTTACACGTTTCGGACGACCCGCTCGGATTACCAACATGAAGTGCGGGCCCCGGCTGAGACTTCCTCGCAATTCACTCACCGACGAGGCTCCCGCCTGATACTTCTTCCATATTCAATTTAGGGAGTGATTGATGACGAAGTGATGAGTCAGTGAGTGCTGATGATGAATGAGTGATGAGTGAGTGATGATGATGCTGATGATGATGATGACCAGTGAGTGGGTGATCGAGAGATGATGATGGTGATGGTGACGATGATGTTGAGAGAGGCGGCTTTCCTACCGTCGGAGGACCACTGCCTCCGAAGCCTACTGAGGACGAGTGAGTAATTGAGTGAGTGAGTGGGCTATAGAGTGGTGATGATGGTGACGATGATGATGATGAGGATGATGATGATGAGTAGTGATGACGGTGATGGTGGTTGATCGTGATGATGATGGTAATGATGATGAGTGTGTGCGTGTGATGACGATGATGGTGGTTGATGGTGACGATGATGGTGATGATGGTGAGTGTGTGTGAGAGAGAGAGGAAAAGGGGGGTGTGAGATCCTGCGCGGCGTGTGCAGAGAAAACAAGAACCCCACTTGGGATGTGGGGAACAAGAACCCCACTTAGGATGGGGGGGTAAGTGCATGCCGATCTACTTGCGCACATACCTACCATCCCGCCTACCTACTTTCTTCTCCCATTCACCTACATACATACATACATCATGCATAAATGCATACGTATATACATACATAAATGCAGACCTGCATGCATACACATGTACGAACAAACGTGCATACACAGTTACACATGTATGGGTGTATGTATGTATGTACGTATGCATGCATGTATGAAAGTATGTGCTCTGCTTCTCCCTCACGCTCTCTCTTTCTCTATGTATATGTACTCCCGTCGTTCCCATACGCTGGACCGCCTTGTCCCCTTGTCTCTGTTCCTTTCGTTTTCGGTCGCCTCGGTCTGAGTCGGGATCCAGACAGCCGCGTGAGAGAGCATGCGCCAGTGCTTCGACACCCTCGACCCCAGAGGTCTCGACCCATTCCCCGAGACCCGCTCTTCATCGTGTCGTTCCTGGACGGGCTTGAGGTCCGCTACGGGCCCGCGGACGCCGAGCACAGCGAAACACCGCCCGCTGTGTCCTGCTCATGACTCGAGCGGATCGCCTCTCCGGGCCGCAATGCCACCTCCCAAGCATGTTGGAGCGCCCCAGGACCACTCTGGACCGCCTTGGGGATTTTTTTGCTGCATTCGGAACCGATTTGGGTTCCTAGACTCTGGACGCTCGAAATGGGTACGGAAAGAATGGGTACAATGCCCAACAGCAGTTCCTGTTCATCTTGAACAGGATTCGCGATCCACGCCGCCGCGGCCTGTGTCCATTCGAGACATAAGGCCGCCTGCCCAACAGCGGCCGCCGTTGGTTTTGGACAACATTTGTTGTTGGGCATTGTACCCATTTTTTCCGTACCTACTTCGGGCGTCCAAGTAGACATCCTTGGCATCGTCTCTTGCGCTTTGCCCCTTGCGTGCTCCGCGCGGCAGGACGGGCCGTGCGGACCTCCGAAAGTAGAGGCATACTCGACTAGACGTAGGAGGGGTCTTTCGCCAGAGTCACCCTTGGTGCGAGCCCAATGGGGCCCCCCGATCGCTGAACGCAGTGCACGGTAGCACCGGCCTGCTCGCCCAGGTTCGGCCACCCCGCGTCCCCCGTCAAGCCGTGCACCAGAGGTCACCCTTGCCTACAACCCTCGTCAAAATTAACCTCAAAAATGTCTGACGTGGTTGAACTGCTTGTCGGAAGATCTGGGGCCGAGTATCGATGAGTGCGGGGTACTTGCATGCATGCGCCGCCCCTCCAATGTCGGTCGACGTCAAACTTTCGAGTCAACTTCGGTCAGACTATCTTTGCCCTCGCCCCGACTTTGAAGGGGCGGCGTGCCGACATTGAGGGGCGCGCCGAAATCGAAATGACGTGCCAGCAACTTTTGAGGTTAATTTTGACGAGGTAGTAGGGTCAAGTCGGGCCTGTCCCTCAACAGGAGGAAGATTCCAAAGTAGTCAACAGATAGTCAGGGGACGAATTCTCGACTATTCTTGACTATTATTGAGAAGTCTTGAACTGTGTTTTACTTTCGTCCAAAATCCGCCTGTAGGGGGACATGCCCGACCTAAGCCTAGGATCACTCTTGCGTGTAGTCGATGCTCCAAATCCCTCATTAATCGACCCTCCCTAAAAAATCGGACCCCCCTCCAAATGCGACCTCATATTCTGGACCCTCCTCTTCGACGGGCCGCCTTAATAAACCGGACCCCCTAAGCTCCAATCCAAAGAAAACGCCCGCATAAACCGGACCCCCCCCAGCTACAGAAGAGGCGCCCCGAGCCCTAATAAACCGGCCGCATTGGGGAGCTGGGGCCCTCCAGAGGTCTTCTGAAGCCATCTAGGGCCCTCTTGCGGGCCTCCAGTGGCGTTCTTGGAAGCATCCCATGGCTTTCGTGGGTCTCTCTTGGGAGCCTTCTGGGGGCATCTTGGGCTTCTTGTGGGCAGTCTCGGGGCTCTCTGGGGCAGTCTCGGGGCGGCCCCCTTGGGCCGCCTTCGAACCCTCTATGGGGCCTCGTGGGCCGTCTTGGGGCGAGATTGGGGGCCCATTGGGCCGTCTTGGACGCTGCGAAGACCCAAAAAGCGGATATGCACAACAAATGTATTTCCTGAGGGAATGTGACGATTTTGGTTTTTTCGGGGCTCTCTTAACGGCCTCTTGGGGTGTCTTGGGGGCCTCTTGGGCCGTCTTCAGACCATCGAGGTTCCTCTTGGAGCGCTCTTGCGCTGTCTTGGGTCTCTCTTGCGCCTTTCCGACGACCCCTCTAATCGCCTTCAGTCGGCTCGCAGGGCCCAGCGAGGCGCCCTGGGAGGCCCGGAAGGGCCACCGAACCTTTTCCAAGGGCGTCCAGGGGCCCCCGAACCGTCCGAAAGAGCGCCCCGGCCGTCCCTTGGAGGAGGATCCGGTTTAGGGGGGGGGGTCCAGGGTGTGTGTGTGTGTGTGTGTGTGTGTGTGTGTGTGTGTGTGTGTGTGTGTGTGTGTGTGTGTGTGTGTGTGTGTGTGGGGTTCCAGGTAATTGAAATAAGAACAGGAATATGCGTGTTTTTTTGAAGGGCCCCAGCGCCCCAGGAGAGCGGCGCCCTCCTCGCCGAGCGCGCGGTGCGCCCGCGGCCTCCCCGCGTGCGCGGGGCGCCCGCCGCCCTCGCGGGCCTCTGCGCGGCGGCGGCGGGCGCGTGCCTGGCGGCCGCCGGCCGTGCAGGCGGGCTCCGCGCGGCGGAGGGGCGCCGAAGATGCAGGAGCAGAGAGGGAGGGGAGCGAGGAGGGGGGAGGCGAGGAGGAGGAGGAGGAGGAGGAGGAGGAGGAGGAGGAGAGGGGGAGAGGGAGGGAGGAGGAGGAGGAGGGAGGAAGGAGGAGGGGAGGCGGAGGAGGAGGAGGAGGGAGGAGGGGGAGGAGGAGGAGGAGGAGGCACAGAAGGGAAGAGGGAGGGCGGGTAGGGGAGGAGAAGGAGGAGAGGAGAGGAGGAAAAGGAGGAAGGGAGGAGGAGGAGGAGGAGGAGGAGGAGGAGGATGTCGTGGACTGGCTCCTGTGGTGGCGGATGTGGCCGCCACCCACCTCTGAGCAGTTCGTCGGCCTCAGGCGCCGCCCCTGGCGCGCTCCGCGCGCCAGTGAGGGGGCTCTGGCGCAGATCCAAGAAATCCGCGCTGACCTCCAAATGTGGGTGTTTATGCCATTGCCGCTCCTCCAGAGGAGGAGGAGGAGGAGGAGGAGGAGGAGGAGGAGGAGGAGGAGGAGGACACGCACCCAGTCGAGAAGCTGCGCTGCTCGGCTCCGCGCGCCCGCGGGACGCGTGTGCGGCTCGGCCTCGAAGCCTGGGCTGGGACACGCCCCGCCTGGGCAGGTACACCCAGCGTGGTGTCATCGCCCACGGAGGTGGGCCACACCCTTTTTTTCCCTTTGCGGCGCGGCAGAGGCGATCCGCTTGCGCGTGGAGCAAATCCGGGCTGCGGAGTTGCAACTTGTCCCGCATGCAAGAGTGAGAGGGGAGGGGCAGAAAAGGGCGGCCGCGATGGGGGAGGAGGGGGGGGGAGGGCACGCTCACGCGGCGGCGCCGCAGGGAGCGCGCGGGGCGGCCAGGCCGCGGGGCAGCCCATGGCAGCGGCGCGTGGCACCCAGGGGCGGGGCCAGCAGCCGCAGTACGGGCGAGGCCCAGCAAGCGGGGGGGCGGGAGCAGCGGGCGGCAGGCGGACCAAGCGCTTGGGCGGGCGGTGCACCGGCGTCGTGATGCCTCACATCCCCCCCGCCGTCTCGCACACCCTTCACGGGGGTGACGGGTACAGGTGGGCAGGCTTGCCGCGCCGCGTCGAAGATGCGGGCGAGGGCCTGCGTAGGCCGAGGCAAGGGGAAGGAGGAGGGCGAGGGGTGCGAGGGGGACGTGGACGAGCGTCGAAGAGCAAGCGTTGACAACCACGACTTCTCGGAAGTCTTAGCAGAGGTCTCGGATCGGCGCTGGTCCCCCCGTGGGGGTCGTTCCTGGCGCGCTCCGCGCGCCAGTGTAGACGGGTCCAGCGCCGATCCCGGAAATCCGTGCGGACCTCCGAAAGTGTATCGGGGGCGGCAAAGAGGGGGGTGATGACTAGGGGTGGGTGGCTATCATGGCGTGGGCCATGGTATTTCCTCAGATCTCATGGCGCCTCTTCTTGTTTCATTACGTCCCTGGCCCCGCCCCTGGGCCGCGCACATGCCGCCGGCCATGATTTGCGCACCCCCCTCTTGGACGCCCCCCTCTTGGCCGCCCCCGAGTGTATGTTGTAATTCTGCTTTATTTCTTTATGCGAGGGCGAAGGAGCGGGGGGATTGTGCACTTCGCTGAGACGATGGTGACAGGCCAGCCTGCTAGACGAAGAAGTCCTCTTCTGGTACTAGTTCTTGTGGCGGTTGCGCATTCCCGCGCGGAGGCAGATGAGTACGAGTGTGACAACGTGACGTAGCCAATTAAAGCTTACACAACGTGATTTCCATACGCATGGTGTTCTCATGGTGTAGCCAACCCATCCCGAGATCCGGTGGCGCAGCACCACTTGTCAACCGAAACTATATCCTAGGGAAGATCCAGACAGTCTTCTCTCTGGTGCGAGTAATCGCATCATCTTGCAATGCGGCCAAGAATAGCGAGCTGAGACTGAGCTACCATAACACGGCCAAGACCTGAGCTTAAGAGATCTAGGAATCTGTAGTGCTGCAAAGACCATAGCTGACGAAGGCCGTGATATTGCACAGCATGGGTCGGACCTTTGCAGCCCGACGTTGTACGGAGCATCGCCGGAGGGGGAGGAGCTGAATCTAGATGTGAACAAGATAGGCCCACTACAGGAAGCTGGCTGAGTGGCGCCACTGATTTAGTCACGGTTTCGAGCCTAAGCCTTCGCATCTGGAGCACCACCTCCCCGAGTCGCTCAGACAGGGGAGGCAGAGAAGAACGAGTGAGTGGCCGAGACGGCGGGTGGTCGATGGTGGACGATGGATTGTTCTCTTGACGGTTCTCCACGGGCGTCGCAACATCGGCCGCCATCTTATGCAGACTCGCCCTCCAGGTGGGAAGTCTGACAGGCTGATCCCTCCGCCGGGCAGCAACACGTGGCTCCTGACCGAAGAGGGGAGGCGAGTTGCCTCCTGCGCCACCCCAGCCACAACATTCCGAAAACAGTCGCCGACGACGCCTCCGAGGCCGAATTGAGGAGGGGTAGGAGGAGGAGGAAAAGGCGGACGAGGAGGAGGAGGAGGAGGACGAGGAGAAGGGAAAGGAGAAGGAAGAGAGGAGGAGGAGGTGGAGGAGGAGGAGGAGGAGGAGGAGCAGGATGAAGAGATGGAGGAGAGGAGGAGGAGGAGGAGGAGGAGGAGGAGGAGGAGGAGACGGACGAGGAGGACGAAGAAGGGAAAGGAGGAGGAGGAGGGGAGGAGGAGGGAGGAGGAGGAGGTGGAGGGAGGAGGGGGGGGAGGGGAGGGGGAG